GAAAGTGCTCGCATATACATACAATGGCGATGTCCCTATATCTCCGTACACCACTCCTATGCTTTGAAACGCCAAACTCAGTGTGATTCTCCAGCTCATCTTGAAATTAAAATAAAACGTTATATATATATATATATAGAATCAAATAACATGATTGGCATAGATCTTGATTCTTGGAACTATCAAAATCGTCAATAAAACGATTTTTATTATATTAGTTAAATAGGCTTTCATTAGAAGATAATAGGAATTTCCAATAAAATTCTAATTAAATCTCTAATAATATATATATATATATACACACACACACATCAAGTAAGGATGGATGATATTTGGTAGAGTTTTTAAGAATCGAAAATACTTAAAAATATATATATATGTATTATATTAGACGGCTAGATTTTTCTACGATTATATTCTAACTTTAAATCTAGAATAATAAGAATTTTTAATAATATTTTACTCAAATCTCTAGAAATATAATATATAATACCAGAGAAGATTTGACGATATTCGATGGAGTTTTTCCGGCTTCCACGTGGAAAGAGTCGATACGATCGAGTTTTCCCCACGACATCTGATGCAAGAACACATGAGATATATATATTAGTACTATATATAGGAAGAACAAGATTCTCCATATAAAATATATTTTCATATATATGATTGATTTTGGAAGCAAATGTTGTAATCAATATATATATAATCAGAAAATGTGAAGAGCATACCTTCCTGTCTTTCAACTCGTTCTCATGACCCGCTCGGTCATTGGTTGGCTGTTCATCTTCCATCTCTCTCTCTCTCTCTCTATCTATCTCTCTCTATCTCTCTCTCTCTCTGCTTTAGAGAGAGTAGAGATGCTCACAAGGGAAGGATTGGTGTTTATAGGCAGCAAAGATTCATTGACTTTGATTAAAATAATGTGCCAATGGTGAATAGCCACTTACTCCCATTCTCAATAATTACACTTTTTTAGTGATTATACTTCAACGCTTGGACGCGTTCCTTACACATCTTATTGCTGACTGTTGAACTGTTAAACAAATCTTGCTTAATTAGGGCAAATCTCTTGTACAAATAACGCACACTACATATATAGTAACTTTTTTTTTTTTGTAAAGTGCATATATAGTAAGTGCAATATAATATACACACACACACGGAGATATATTATAGCGTTTAATTTCTTCAATAATATTAAGATGAATAGTATTTAATTCATATTGCATTTAATGAAAAATTAATATTGATTTCATGTGAGTACTACTAATACAACAAAACTAATTTTTGGATTCTTTTTTACCTTATGACTAGCTTAAAGATTAATTTTCCTAAATTTACCTTTGTATATATTATAGATCAATCCTCATATATTTTCTTTCCAAATTATTCAATTTCATTCATGTTTAATTTATATATGATACGGTACAAAAAATTTAAGTTAATATGATTCAAAAAAGGAAAAATGAATCAACTGTACGTACGTATGTATGTATATATGTATAGGATTAACTGTACGTACGTATGTATGTATATATGTATAGGAACCATAACCGCATTAATGTTTTAGCTTGGAGTGATGTAATTTATATATATAGACGTACTTTAAAAAAATGGCCCAACTATTGATGAATGGAGAGAGGGAGAAAGTCAACCAAAATAATGTTATATATATATCTTATAAATTCGATAATTTCACTAAATAAAGTTTATAAATGATAGAGTATATTCTTGGAGTTCAAAGAATACCCACATGAACAAAAAGTTAATATAAAATAATGTTATATATATAACAGCAAAATTGTCAATTAATGTGTAACCCCAAAATTGTTATAATAGTAGTAGTTGTAGCAATAATGTACCACTTAATTATTATAAAATTTATCAG